GTTATGATTATAATTCAACACCATTTTTATTATAATAAAATGGTATGTTGGATTATATAATCATAAAATGTACTAGCGAAATGATCTGGTATTGTAAATATTTTTTTTTTATATGTTGCACACCGGGTGAAGGATTAGTCATGTAACATCAACGATTGCTTTTTACCCAGATTTCAGATTCGGGCTGTTCCGGAGTTTTTATATTTCTTTTTGACTATATATCTTTTATTAACGTTATACGAATTTTTAAAGCTAACCTTTATGAAATGCATAACTTTAATTTGATAAAATTGTGTAGAAGTATAATAAGAACCGAGGAATAAAACAGTTATTATCCACGTAAGTGGATAATCAAAAATTAAATGTAGATCGCAACCAGTGATCATTGTCATTCCAATCACCGATTCAATTTCTGGTTATTACCCACTTACGTGGACAATAAAATATACATATTGTTTAGTTTAATAAAATTTTTCATAATAAAATCACCTAAAAATTCATATAATACTGAGTAAAAATTGTATTTTTACGGAATTGATTTGGGTAACTATATTTGGGTCTTTTTAGCCGATCTCTATTTTTAGTTCGAGTAAAGGTTCTGTTCGTAGTTTTTGTATCAAAAATATACCGGGTGTTTGATAAGTCCCTAGACAGGACCTTTTTTTTAATCATTAAAATAAATTACTATACTATATAAAAAAAATGCAATTATTAGTAATCGTTATATAATAAAAACTAATACTAGTGGAGATATAAAAAAGGTCCTATCCAGGGACTTATCAAATACCCGGTATAAAATATATAAGTAAGGTAAATTCGTAACTATTTGAATAGTCTTGAAAAAAAAAACTTTTAAAATGATAAATTATTTTAAAAAAAAATTATTACTTTTGCGAAAAAACAAAAATAGAACAGTTAGCTTAATCCATTCTCCCGCTCTCGAGGAATTATCAGAAAAGAATGAAAGTCAATTATCAATTAAAATTATTAAATACGTTGACGAACTCTTGTCTGAATATGGTAATGAAATTTGGCCCGAATTCTTTAAAATCCTCTTGAACCTGCCCGACATACAGTTGATGCAGCCAATGACTCAGATTGGATCGGATATGGGGATATATCTATGTCTACTTATGATACCGCATGGGTCGCAATGATTCCAAATAAAGTTTATAAAGAATTGAAATCTTCCAAAGATTTCAGCTTAGCGTTTCCTCAATGTTTTATATGGCTCTTTGATAATCAAGATGACAACGGTAGTTGGACAGGTAACGGTGCTGGTAGTATAGCGCCAGGGCTTGCCGGCCTCCTTGCGCTCGGTCTTTTCAAGTCTCATTCGGGTGAATATTTTGAAACAAAATTGAATGATTTGGGACTAACTATTGTAAATATCATACAAAATATGAAGATTTTTGAGTAATGTATATTGTCAATATTTCTTAACCTCGTCTTGACAACATTGATCTTATAGGAACAATTTACCACAATTTTTGAGAAAGCCACCAAATTCCTACAAAATACGTATGTACGGTTTTTATTCAGTAATGCAGACCCTATTATGTGAATAACATAATTCTTTATTAGACTGAATGAATGGAACATCGACGACCTCGACATGACAGGTTTTGAATTAACAGTTCCCTATCATCTGTCTGCCTTGACACAACTTGAAACCCCAGTTGTGTTTAATTTCCCTGAAAAACAACGACTTTTACGAGAAAATGAAAGAAAATTAAACCTTATTTCTCTAGAAGCAATCCTCACTTTAGCAAAAAACAGACAACCCATGACCCTTACACATTCGATTGAAGCATTTTGCGAAAAAATAGACTTTTCATTAATTCAAAATGAAGGTTTCCAAGCGATTAATGGTAGTTACGGATCCTCACCAGCGGCTACTGCTTCTGTGCTTTTACATGCACCAAAATGGGATTATAAAGCGTTTGAGTTTTTAAAAAAAACAATTTCCCAATGTCCGTCCTATGCTAAAAGTCATGGACTTGTTCCTACTTTAAGTGATATAGGTATATTTGAAACAACTTGGGTAATGCATTCTATCGGAGAGTTATGCCTTAATATTCGTGCAAATAAGAATGTTAATTTCGAGGAACAATCAATTATCGAGCTTTTCTCTAAAAACCTCACATTTATTAAATACCTTTCTGCGTTAAACAAAATACAAGGCGGCACTCTTCGATGGGTTAGTTGGGACAATAGAATACCAGCAGATGTAAATATATTTTTTTGTTATCTTATATTTTTGATCATTACAGATCATTAATTAAAATTTTAAATCTGAATTACTTTTAGGTTGACGATTCAGGTAAATAAAACGTTTCACTTTATGAATTTATTTTCTCCAAAGTGATAAATTTATTAACAATATAAATAATAAAAATCCATTTCTTTTTTCAGTTGTAAGCAATTGGCTTATCAAACAGTTTGATCCTGTTAGTACAATCGATCTTGATGTCATCACAAAAACCTTTTATAATGGCAAATATTTCAAAAGTTTCCCTAGTGGTATGTACACTTCAAAGTAATTAAATTTTTTTTTTTTGGCCAATTGATATTAACTTAATGTATTACTCTTTTTCTTAGAGAAAACATTCTCGGTCAGCTGCAATGTACATGCGGTCGACCTTTTGGTCTCAGAATATCAACGTGTTCAATCCAAGAAGAAAATGATAACCATTCTTGCAGTTGACAAAAATGGTGATACAAAAAAGGTCAATTTAGAAGAAGTAATTCTGACTGTAATAAAATTCATAGTATCTCAACGAAAAAAGGATGGATTATGGTTGGATAAATGGAATAAAAGCCCGGCTTACACAGCATTTAAGGCAAACAATCTACTATTATCCTTGCAAGCTTATCCAAACCTACGCTCCAAATCAGGATTTATCACAAACGAAACACTCCGCGACTATTGCAGAAAAACTGTCGACTGGGCATTAAATACGCAACATGAGGATGGAAGTTGGGGTGAACCATCGAGTACAAGACCTGGAAACCTTGAGGAAACAAGTTATATTATTAGATTACTAAAGACCGCTGCCAAAAATTGGTGTGATGATAAAACAATTCGAACGGCATTATGTGCTGGTAGAAAATACCTTATTAAATATCTTGATGAGTCGATGACAGATCCAGGGTATTTTCATACAAAGCAACCATTTTTAATGCTTAATAAACAACTTTACACTGCACCTAGAGTCATTAAATCATCTATTCTTACATCCCTCTGGGAGGACTAAAACAAAAAAAGGATTGAATTGTTTCTCTAAGTTTGTCATGTGATACGTCATATGTACAGAAACACCAAATTACTGGTAAATGCATTCAAAATTTCTCATGCATGCATCGACAGGGATTCGGAATTTTATCTTTGTTTATTCAAATAGATTCTTTATTTATATTTAATGTATTCAATGTTTTAAGTTATATTTGTTTTTTATTAATTATTATATAGTCACAATTCTTTAATCTATTATATATACTAATATTAACCCGCACAGAACTGGGGTTTTTTTTCTTTGGCAGTTTTGCTTTTATTCAACAAAGACATGAAACATGTATGCACGAAGTTGCAAGATTATTGTCTAGACTAATAAAAACTCATTCGACTATAAATAGCCCAAATGCAACTTCTTATTTTCATGGTTTTAGATCTCTAAGTTATTATAGATCTGATCCCAAAGCTTATAGTTGGTGATCACCAACCTTGTCAAGTCCTTCACTCTACAATAGGGTACTATCAAATTGATAACTTTTTATAAAGTGAGAAAAAGAAATAAAAACAAGGAAGTGATAATGAGAAAGGGATTTATAAAAAAAAAAAAATATAGATCAAAAATAGTCACTAATATAAAAAAGTTTAAAAAACTAAAATTATAAACCTAAAAAAATAATTAGAAAGAAGAAAACTTGTTACCAAACAAAAATTTAAGATTATACAAAATAAAGAAATCTTATATAGAGTTAAGACTTTACTAAAAAATACAAAAAACAAAAGTGCATTATAGTCCATGCTAAGATTTAAAAATTATATGTAGTAATGTTCACTAGAATATTTCAGTAGAAAATTACTGGAACCGAAAAGTTACTGGTCTTAATTGGAAAAATTTCGAACCAAGTTTGATTTCATGTGTGGCACTTACGCGCTACCCAAATTACTCAGTAGTACCCATCTTGCTCAGTAGTTGCAATCTTAATTCTGTAAGGGTCCGGTTTAGATTCTGGATGAACATAAAATATGTGCAAACTTACATAATTCTGGACACCTTACTCATCCTAATTCGGGGTATGGCTCAGACCAAGCTCCAGAAAGTTCACGGCCCGGTTCACTCTGAGCACTACAAATTGCACAGTAAAAATTAATTCAGATTGATTCACCCAGATATTGGGGTATCACTGCAATAATATGTAATTATAGCATCAGATCATCAAACTACATGAAATTTTACAACAAAGAATAAACAAAGCCGAGTTTAAGGGCAAAAAATCACGGTTTACTCCGCCCACCCCATAAACCAAGCGTGTTGAAGATTTTGCGTCCCTACATCACTTAAATTGCCGTATAGCCATCCCTTCGTGTTATGCTATACATAACACACCGTTCCTGGTATTAGCCAGGAACATTCTTCATTTAATGGGCAGTCGCCATTTCATTAGCAAAAATTTGAGGAAATTTTTGATTGTCACTGTTGGCACACGTTTCCGGGGTTACAATATAGGGTTAAACACAGTTACCACGATATTGACCTAAAAACCTAAAATAACAACCAATCCTAATTAAGTATAAACCTGCATCAACATTTCTGCACAGATTACATTCTTTCATTCAAGCATTTACCATCTTGTGTTCGGCATTCAGATAATTGGTTTCGCCTTAATACATAGTAACACATTATTATATAATGATAATGATAATCAAATACTTTTTCAGTCGTACATATATCGATATACATACATGCTGCAATATAGATTTTTTGACAAAAATGTCACTTCTATCAATATTAAGTTCTGGATTTTCCAATACGGTTTCTATTATACCGATATTACTGGTAGTATACGTATTGCACTTTTACTACAACTACTTTACACGTCCGAATCCATTACCAGGTCCCATACCGATTCCTATAGTTGGAACTTTTCATGTAATAGGAACAAATCCTTATAACTGGTATATTAAAAATACTGAAAAAGTTGGCACAATCTGGGAATTCTATGTTGGGAATAAGCGACAAATAGTGGTCAATCATGTCAAATATCTTGAAAAGATTTATAAACCATCTCCAAAATTTTTTAGCAGAATACACATTCCTTCATTTGAACAATTTGGACTTCTCCATGGATTAGTATTTGTTAATGATTATAATAAATGGCAACGAAAGCGTAAATTACTAGCCCCTTCGTTATCATCATCTAAATTCCTACGAAAAATTATCAACAGTGTTCAAAAACAATTCAAAGAATCTGAGAATAGATGGAACCTGAATATAAATAATGAAAAAGAATTTGATGTTAGTTTATGGGCAAAGTGCATTACAACAGATCTTTCGATCACTCAAGTTACAAAACTACCATCTTATAATTTAGCTTTATTTGACTCAAATAATGAAATGATTCAAACAGAAGAAGTAAAAAAAGTATTAAAATTTTCCGATGCAATAAAAAATTTTCTTGCCATGCTTCCATATTTCGTTCTCCTTCCTACATTTTTAATGGATTATGTTCCAGGTTTTAGATCAATTAGAATAAACGCCGAACGTAGTGTTAAATTTGTTTATGGAATTGTTCTCGATGTAGTTGAAAAAAGAAGAAAAGAGCTTAACGAAGGTGCTGAGTTTGAATCTGATTTGTTAGATCATATGTTGACAGCTCATACACCGATGAATCCTGAATATAAAGAAGGTGATAACATAGCTCCAATGACTGTTAATGAAATTAAAGCTGTTTTGTTTGACGTTCTTTTAGGAGGTGTTGGTCCGGTAATTTTAAACCTTTTTTTTATATTACATAAAAAGAGACACACGTTAAGAAATAAACTATATTAATACACTTAAATTTTATAGATAAGCAGTGCACTCTGCTTCATTATATATAACGTTGCAAAAAATCAAAAAATTCTTGACAAAATTCATAAAGAAATCGAACAAGTTAATGGGTTGGATCCAGATACTGAAATTACTTATGAAAATCTCACAAAATATCATTACCTTGAAGCATTGATTAAAGAAGCGATGCGTCACACTGTAATCATACCATTTACATTTAAAGTCTTGCATGAAGAAGAAAATATTGCCGGATATAATTGGTCAAACGGAACCAAATTTTGGATAGATAATCAAACTCTTTCGAATAACCCTGAATTCTGGGATGATCCCAAATGTTTTAGTTCAGATAGATTTTTAATTAAATCTGATGGTACTTATGATGTACCAAGAAATTCTTTTGTTCCTTTCGGTGGTGGCCTTAGGATTTGTCCTGGAAGATTTTTGTCAATAAATTTGCTGAAGATTTTTATTGTTCTATTTTATAGAAAATACGACATAAACTTAGTCAATAATAATGAAAATATAAAATACCGCCACAGTATGGCAAATGAGATTTATGATCTAAATATCAAAATTAGCTTAAGAAAATTTTAAAAAAAACATAATATAGAGATATATTATAATATGATCCATCTCATGAAATCTATTTGTATTATTATTATTATTTATAATCTTCACTTTTTCATTTTTATTATTTACTATATTGTCTGGTGTTTCATTATATTGAATGAAGAGATCTGCTCATTTGTTAAATTTAGTTTGGGTTTGGATGGTTTCAGCCTTTGTTCGATTTGTATCTGTCTGATTGGCGTTGAGTTTTAACAGTAGTATGATAGTTGTCATTGGTTTATCATGTGGCGTGGTTTGGCATCATTGTATCCATATCTGTTTTAGACCTTTTCATTTACCTTGTACAATAGTATCATTGCTAACTTGTATTTAGTTTTGCTTTTAATTCTGATCTGATTGATGGTTTTTGTTTGTTGGTTTGTTAAGATGTCCAGTATAACCCTGAAATTTGCGGGCTGGGCCGGCTTGGCATAGTTCGGGCCTCTTAGGCCGAAGTTCGTCTGATTTGTGAACTCATACAGGGGATCCCCAAAATTCCGGGTCGGGATGCTTCGGATTTAGCCCGGCATTTAGTTAGCATTTAGTAATATAAGTTAACCATTTCTGGGCCAAAATTATCAGCTGGGCAGCTTTACTTAATGAGTGAGCTATGGTTTCATTAGTAAAACTTTTGGTGATCTTGGGCAAAATTAGTTGATTCCGGCCCTGCCGATCATGATTCCGATGTATTCCGACCCGGAATTTTGGGGATCCCCCTGTATGAGTTTATTTAACTAGCTTGAAATCACATTCACCATAAATCCTAATCTTTGTAATTGGAGAAATAATAAATTTGATAACTAAAAAACGACTTCATGATTGGTGCATAATTACGTGACTAAGACCAACGTGAAATTCTGTTTAACATTAAAATTTACGTTTAGTTTTTTAAAATTCTAAGTATCGTAGAAAAAACTGCAAAAAACCTAAACGCTAAAAAATGCCGCCTTCACCGAAAACTCCACCACATGAAATTCTATCAATTTGTAAAAAATATTTTATAATAGGGTGTTTCTTTTTACCTTGGCTATGGGTTATTAATGTCGCTTATATGTGGCCTTTAATAAAACGAGAAGACATTGGTACTCAAATCAAAAAATGTAAGTTAAACTAATAATATCAAATAAATAAATAGGGTATCTTTAACGACGCATTCCCAATATAAAGTATAACTAACACATATTCTTATTGTTTTTCTGAATCCAGATTTATACCTATCAATAATCGGCGCAATATTCTGGCTGATAGTTCTAATAACTTGGTTATTGATCTTCGTCACGAACCGAATTGAGTGGGGTCAATTCGCTGACAGTATTTCTGTTGCCATTCCTAAAGGTGTTTAGCAACCTACAGTTGTTAATAAAAATGAAAAAATATATTTACATAAGATTACAAAGTGTAAATTATAACATATGTAGGAATAGAAAATATAGAAATAGAGTTTAATTTTATTTAATTTTATATATTTTACATATTCTCTAATAGCATCTACCTATTACATTATTTTTATATTCGATTTTTAGAAAGATTAGTAAAAGTTGTCACTTCATGTTTATGACATCTTATATATTTTGTTGCGACGTTTCCATGTCTTTCATCCGGAATTCAGAATTCCGACTTTTTCTTGAGGTAGTCTTATTGCAAATTACACTTTTTAATTGTCACTTTTCCACAAAGGAAATTCCCGTCGACATATGCATTATGATTCCTTCGCTAAAAGGATCATAGTTCAAAGGTAATTCTATAACTATAGCTTTTTTCACTTGTTCTGTATCCATCTTTTAATTACTATCAAGGAACATTTGATTATCTTTCCGTCATTAATTAGCTCAATGAAAAGATGTTGCAACAAGATAGCTTTGATGAATCGCTCCTTGAATTAATAATTGTAAAATGTACACTTAATCTTGGCATATTATACCTGCTCTGTCCTATCTTACACCTATTTTACTGCTAATATCCTTCAATACGAAGTCCATTATATGTCAAAATTTTTTCCTGTCACTATCATTTTGATGATCACTGAATTCGTTTGACACATAGCTGACTGAAAACTATATATTCTTTAAAAAATTGTACGTACGTAGAAAATCTTGGTATATACTATTTTATATATATATATATATGAAACATCCTATGATTGAGTACTACAATTGGCTGTTATTAAATTTGTAGTACGAAGCTACTATTGGTCAAACAAGTGATATGATAGATGATTTTTTCATAAGAAATTTAATACATTTCTTATTCTGCAATAATGGCTAAAAGCAAAAAATCGATTTTAGCCATCTCAAGTGTGGCCGACTCTTCCCTAGATGTATTTCAATATCAGAGAGGTGAGAATGTACTTTGCTACCATGGGCCCATTACGTACCCTGCACAGGTAATTCTCGCTGTTCCGAAACATAAAACTTCGATAAATGTTACATTTTCATAATTAAAAGAATCGCCAAACAAGCAAGCCTTGTAGTGGCTTTGAGTAAATAAAGTATTGAATATTTTACATAACTCGGTTTTTAAAAAGTGTCTTTTTAAAACTTAGATCTAATTATATGTGTTTTTACAACAGATTTTGGATTTAAGAATTATCTACGAAAACGAGGGTGGTGATGTCGGACCACAATATCGAATACATTACAAAGGATGGAACAAAAAGTAAGCAAAAATGGTCAGAATGGTTTGTAGTATATGCAATGGGAACATTACATTAATAATGATGAATTTTGATAGATGGGATGAATGGGTTTCTGAATCAAGAATTCTTAAGATGACTGAAGAAAACATTGCGGCTACGACAAAAATAAAGCAAATTCATTCGACACCTCAGAATAATAATTCTTCTTCAGTTTTTGTACAAATTGAATCGATTGATGAGATGATGTTTCCCAATACAACTACACAAACCGAGCAAAATTCCAAAGCATCTAATTTTAAAAATCGCATCTTAAAACGTACTGTCGATCAAGGGCAAGCAATAGCAAGCACATCAGGCAAAAATGCGGTTTGTTCATGTTTTTTTGAATAAGCATTTTAAAATTTAATAAATTAATTGGATTTTATAATTAATTAATCCGTAACGTGTTTACGTTGATATAGAAAAGGGCAAAAAAGTGCAAGATTTCTGTTGATATTACGGATGAAGGAATGCTTCGACTTGTTGATGAATGGCAATGGAATACTAAAAACCAACTTGTAAGTAGCAAGACCAAAATACTTTATGCAATTCTGTCATCAAAAATCATTAAACATTTTAAAATCCAATGTTTATAGCTTGTTTATCCTATGCCACGACCCAAAACTGTTAATGATATTTTGGAAGAATTCTTTGATTTCAAAATGGAGAAGCTTAAAGAACAAAGTAAAATGTCTATAGGCAGAAATAGAGGACGTATAACTAAAACACAAGAAATAGCAACGAGAGATGTAACAAATGGTATCAAACAATACTTTAATGAAGCACTTCCAATATGTTTACTTTATCGATTTGAACGTCAACAATATGTCGAAATGACAGAAAAATATCCAAAAAAAGAAATGTCATCTATTTATGGGGCTGAACATTTGATGCGCCTTGTTGGTGTGTTATATATCATTTTATTCGTATTTTAATTTGCATTTACAGTATTTGTAGAATGAATTAATTTACAGACTAATAATATATATATTTATTTTTAACAAGTTAAAATCCCAGATCTAGTTCATGCAGTGCAAATGAAAGAGCAAAAAGCCGAGAGTTTAGAACAAATATTTAATGAACTAGCAAGGTAATTTCTTAATAATTGATAGAACACAGAATATATTCATAAATTTATTTAATAATCAAAATACTATTCTCAAGATTTTTGGAAAATCAATGTAAAGAATACTTCGCGAAGCAATTTGAATTCGCATCAGCACCATATATTAGGGTCATTTGGGAGTACTGATGGCTTCTTGGGTACAAAAATATTACTTAAAGGGGTCAATGTAATTACTGATATAGACTAATTGATTATTTGATCAATCGTTGTCGGGTACGTAAATAAATTAATATTATTTGCACAAACTCAATTTAAATATATTTCTTATGAATCTTTCTCATGAATCCTGTTACTAATTCTAATAGTATACGGATTACATAGGAAATTAAAGATTCTAAAAAAAAAAAAAAAGGGAAAAAAGAAAAAAAATCAAAAAAAAAAAATAGCATACTGTTTTTAATTTTAATTCAAATATGAACATTTATAAGTTACGAGTAGAAAACCCAAATATTATTAACGAGCCAAATTTTTTTCAAAATTGCGTGATGATACCTGCAATTACCTGCAAAATCATAATGATAAGATATTTATCAATGAATGTCAAATAATATATGGGGTTAAACGTTGGTAAAAAAAGTTCATGCTCTTTAATTTGTAAATTTTTAGAATGAATAATAAAATAAGTTTAATAAATCCAAGCTTACTATTGTTCTATTTGTTCACCGGATACGCGGGACCGACAATCTGCTGCGGTGATATTTGACTAAAATAAATATCGCCACAAAAAATCATCAGCCCTGCGGATAATCGTAGCCTGAAATCCGGAATTTATAAACATGATTTGATATTCAATAAATCTTTTCCTTTTTTGTCGAGCTTTCCAGTATACAGTGTTTAACATATCAATATCTATGGACTTTATTTCGCTGGATCACGTGAATAGCGCACAATATGCGGTGAGATAAATTTTTATGCAGGATGGCGTCCAACACTTCAATATTGGTTTCAATCAATGTATGTGTAAATTCCTTTTCGCATTTTTTATAACGCGACCGAGAAAGAATCACTAATACAGATAACAAGAATCGCGTCTTGTAATTTCATATGATATGTAAATATTTGTATGTTTATGTTGCAAATGACCGAAAAAATTAACCACCTAATATTTTAAAAGATATCTTACCAACATCATCACATATCAATATTTAATATATACATTTGTGGATTTAAAGATCTGACGATAATTGCATCTTTCGTTTTTTACTTACGTATTCTGTAAGCCCAAAATTTACTTATCGCAATAGTAGATCTTTGTTCATCGGATAACACACACCTGACCTTTAGCACACAATAATCTGAAAAATAGCCGTTTATTTTACACAATAAGTTTATATCTTGGAGGTTTATATCCGAGTTGTTAAAAAGATTTTTACATTGTTTTTCTTTGGTCACACAACAATGGCGAATAATATTAGCAGAAACTCAATTTCGGTCCATGTACTACGACGAATCATGGTGGCAGGGAATTACGTACCACTTCAATTCATAAACAAATCATAACGGCAGGAGTACAATAACTATAATAGATAGTGTAACTTCCAGACGATCAATTTTGAAAAATCATTGTTCAAGAAAGATACTCTAAGCCCTTCCCTTAATATTCATACACGAAAATAACTCCACAAACATTCTGTGATACAAATAGAAAAAAATATCCTCGTGAAAAAATATGTTGTGATAAAGTTTTCATTCAAATTACACATGTGCATTGGAGATTATGTATAAAAATGACGTCGAATTTATTCTTTATACTAAATACGCGACAAAGCCCTGTCTGTGATCCTTAATATTCTTTACTGTAAATTTAACATTAAGCATTGTTTATAAATTACTTATGAAACTGTTCATTTCTCTTTATGTCTTTTTCGTCTTTGAGCTGCAAAATTCTTATTTTTTTTAATCTTTCTTTTTTTTCTTTATATTATTATTATTAAAAAAAAATTAATAAATAAAGTATCGAAATGCAAACGAAAACTTTAAAAAATATACTTTTGCTTCTACTTATTTGGATGTTTTTCCCACTAGTAACTATCGCAGTTTGTATGCCTCGACCATTTTTTTTATCTTTGTTAGATAAAATATTTAAATAATTATGTAAAGAAAATTTTCATACCTAATCTTCATGGCCTTATCTTATTCATGTAGTCTTTGCGTATATTACTTGCTGGGTCTTCTATCTTTCATGTGGTATATAAAACTTTTTGGTTAAAAAACAGGTTTAATCTAAATGAATCGATTTTTATTAATGTTGATTAACATTCCATTTTAGCCCAAACCGACGCACCACCATCGCAGTTGAGAGTTCCATTAAGCCCTAAACGAGTTTTCAAAGTATTTTCATACCTGCTTAATTGCTTGTATGAAAATTTAACCGGTCCATTTATTCCATCAATTCTTCAATATGGTTGGCATAAATTATCCAGTCAAAGAAAGAAACTAACTATCAGGTATTTACTTTTTTTTTTTTTTACACTAAAAAAAAATCAGAATTTCATGATTTGACTTGTATTCACTTATTTTTTTCATAATCAATTCATTAGGAAAAATATTAAATATAGCTCAAGGAATCGTCTTGATATATACTTCCCTGATCGGACTTCCACAACCACTTTCAGGAATAGCCAAGTTTTTTCTGAGCATCCTGGACTATCCCAAAGTGCAAATATGACAAGTTCATCTTATATTGAATCTCCTGTTATCATTTTCATTAGTAGTTCCTGGATTTCCGGTAAGTAATTCTAGTGAATTTACTATTTTGTCCCATAGTGTCACGTGACAAACATATAATTAAATAAATTTATAATTCGTTACTTCATAGGAAATAAAACAACCTGCATGCCAGTAGCCCATAATCTACAAAGCCAGGGTTACATTGTGGTAGTCCCTGATATCACACTTTATCCAAAAGTATATGATCTATCAAGGCTTTCTGAAATTGTTTGATGTCAACAATATCGTTAGATATATTCATTGTTATTTCGATCTTATATTTATTAGGGAAAGATTACCGAAATGGTTTCCGATGTTCAACAATGCATTCAATGGACATATAGTCATATTAGGCACGTACTTTATTTTCTCGGGCTTAATAATCCGGAATATCATCGCTAGATGTAACTTATGTTAACTTATTTTAGGCAATTCCGTGGTGATCCTTCACAGATCTATCTTATGGGTCATTCCGCAGGGGCGCTCTTGTCTGCTTTAACGGTGATTCACGATGCTTGCGCCACTTTGCACGCACTTCCGATTAACACAACAAATGTGAAAATTCCCGTTTGCGGCCATACTAATGGAAGGGCTGGGTTGCCTAGAATTCAAGGGCTAATCTTGTAATTAATTAGTAGTTTTTTTTTTTTTTAATTTTACTGAATTTGTATCAATCTGTACTAATCTAGTAATTTTAATACTTTTTAGGTTCTCGGGTGTTTATGATACAACTTATCACTACGCATATTTACATCAACGAGGTACGCGTGCTTTCGGTTAGATCATAATCGTTGGTGCTGCGACCAATCGAAAAATAATGCGTTTTTGAATGAAATTTGCCTCGTAGGTCTTGAACAAGTGCACGCCATGCCACGAGTAATGGGTAAGTTGGCTCTCGCTATTAGATTAAATCTTTTTCTTTGTACAACTCTATGCTTAATTCAACTTAAAAATATATATAAACAGGAAATACATCAGAATCTTTACTTCAATGTTCACCTACTTATTTACTCAATTATGCTTTCAACAATTCACAACACCGTACTCAGCTAAAAATGTTATTACCTCGAAAAGTTGTTCTAATCCATGGAGATAAGGTAAATTATGATTAAATAATTGTTGAATAATCGTCGAATAATTGTTGAGTAATGGCTAAATAGAATATGAATACATTCTCCACGTAATTAATTGATTTTTTTTTTCTTTTACTATGAAAAGGACACGTTTCACCCTCCAACATCTACACGTAACTTTTTCTCCTTACTAGACTCTGTTGGTATACCTGTGCAACTTAAAATTTATGAGGATCTCAAACATATTAGTCCTTGCATTGATCTAATCGTACCAACAAGAAGATTATGTGCGCTTTTATTAGAAGATATTAAAGAATGTTGTGAAAACAGTAGGCCAGTTATGATGGGCGAAGGTGAAGAGGAATCAATACATGATGTTTATAACCGTCGTGATCGAATTAGAACACGAAGAAGAATGGCTTTGACTCGATATTAGAATTATATACACGTATTTATACATATCGACTATGAAAGTAATGTAATTAATGGGTGTCTTTCTTTTTTTTTTTTTTTAGAAAAAAATTGTTTTATAGATATTTACAATCCGTAATTACAATCTAAAAAAGAATTGATCGTAATCACTAAAATTAGTTTTAATATATATTTTATAGATTGAATACTTTTAAATGTAGTTATATTTGTATATGCATATACTGTACTTTAGATTAAATAAAATGTTTTACATGCATCAATAATTTTTTTATAGATGTTTTTAATTAATCAAAATGGTAGATGTAAAAAGTAAATAAATTATGATCAGATTTATATCAATTTTGTTGTTGATTAATAAAATATATTTAAAGGTTTATATTAATGACTTTTAACAACTTCTAGATAATCATCAAAATTATTTATTTTATCGATTTTATAAGAATTAGAATTCCAGTAGATATATTACATAATAATAATATCTATATATACCGTTCAGAAATCGTTACTCTACTTGAAGAAGCCAAAGATGATCAAATCAATTTCATCGTTTATTATACTTTTTATTTTATCTATTAATGCCAAAATTATACTTTCCTATTCCATATATTATAGAAGAATTCCAACTTTAAACAAAAACAATCGTCATAATCGTCGCGTTGTGAATTACGAAAAAGGATCAAGGATCTCGATTCCATCATTTAATTCACTTCCCAATTATTTTCAACCTTCAAATACTTTTGATAATTTCCAAACATCAAAATTATCAAATGGATTCAATGATGAAATAGATGATGGAATAGATGATTTAGGATTCACTCATTTAAATCACCTTTTTCCTGGGTCGAATCATTCTAATGAAAATCATAAACAGTCTCCTGTACCAACAAATACTACAGTTGTAATACAAGCCATGATTGAAATCCCTCAATCAAATGCTACAGCTAATGATAAACCAACTTATCCAAAATCACGTTCCTTATATTCTAAATTAAAAAAAAGGAAAGAAATCTGCATAGGACAAAATCGAGAATTGCCAATTTATCGTCAGATCACGGGAGAACAAACGACAAAGGATAATAATGGCAATATTGATAATATTGATAATATTGACAATATTGATGATATCGATGATATTGATAATATTGATGTTGGAAAAAATGATACAAGTTTCAATAAGAAAAATTCGTCAATTATAATTGATCTGGTTGCGACGGTTAATACAACCATACCACCCTCAGAAAAAACTGAACCTTCAAAACAAAACCCGGAGGGACTTTATGGACCCGGACCTGGACTTTGGTTGTAAAAAAAAGCACATGATAATAATAATTTTACTAAAAGTACATTATGTCAATCAATACGTACTAAATAAAAAATGAATCTTTCAAATCTCCAAATTAGACCACGTAAAATGCTTTTATTATTACTATATTATTTTTTTTTTTTTGCCAAAAATGGGAACACTAGAAATTCAATTTATTCATGAAAAAAGATATTTCATAAAACAAATGCATCCCGAAGATATACATATATATGCTATCTTATAAGGTCACTTAAAACATGATCAAGAGATTCCTCGGTAAATACAGGTTGCCCATCTTGAAATGTACCTTTTACTCTTACACATTCTATTCCTAATTTTTCAATTTCTAGTACGTTAACTTTCACAAATGAATTGTCCAAATAAATCAAATGAGTTATATATTTCTTGGCAGGATATTCTTTAGGCCAAAATCCATCAAATTTCAACGAAGAATTACAACCATCTACGATAGAAGTTATAAAATCTAAAGCCGTGAATTGATCAGTTTCGCGATCATTTGAGCCATTAAGAATCAGAATTTTTCGTTTTAATGTAGTAGACTCGGCTATTGCTTTACCAACTCCACGTAGGATAAGGCAAGGCATAATAGACGTATATAAAGAGCCGATAGAATAAATGAGTGCTGATTTCATTGAAAGACTTCTAAGTACTTTTGAATTTACAGAAGGAAATATCTCTTGCCCATATTCATTAATGTAATAAATCCGATGAATTCGACGATTCAATATATCTACTTTTGATTTGTCGAAAATAAGATTATTTCGCGAAACAGTATTTATAGAATTAAAAGTTTCAGTGGGTGAATCGTGGCATATTAAATTTTCATATGTATTATCAGCAACCCAAGGCGAATTTTGTGGTTCTTGAGATGGATGTGAAATTTCGCATTGACCCGTTATTATAGTTCCATTATCAAGTTCTGCTGCGATAGCAACACTATGATTGGTATTAATTATTGGGATCACTTTTGTCAATTCACTGATTCCCGTTATTGCTGCAAATAAAAAAATTGCGCTCTCTAACGATCCACAAAAAAGTCGTGCTCCAGTAAGGAAAAAATTGCCAATACTACCATTGCGAAAGTCGAATTTCTTGTGTGCTGTCCTTAGAATTTCGGTTTGAAAATGTACCAAGAATCCACGTATAGTTCCTTTTATTTCTGAGGAGATATTTCGCCAAAGTCTTGAAATAGATCAAATATACAAATATACTTCATTATATACAATGAGACACAATAGATATAAATGTGTGACGCCAAGGGAAATTTAATTACATATCATATATGTCTCTGATCAAGGTTGAGCCTGATAAATAATAAATAATAAAACTTGAAAGCCAAAGGTCTGATTTTCCCTGACGTCACTCTAATTCATAAACTACATACCTATGAGTGCCTTCAACTACCTCTAACCATTCATTTTTTATGCTCGTCTCATTTCCCTCAACAGGTAACCGATAACTAAGCAAATTTTTTATAGCCGCTTTTTCGTGATCTTCTTTCTTGGCTTTAATTAGTCTAACTAATCTACTTCTAATATCTCCAATCCCTGGCCCGCCAAGAACACGTAAAATTTCGCTAGTTGAACCACCGTTATCGCTCAAACCAAGTACATAACTCACGTCTGTGGTAATATTTTGCAGGATATTAACCTTGAAAAACAAAAGCGTAAGTATGTACCAATTTGTGCAAGTATAATTTTTTTTATAATAATTGATAACCACTTACCATTAAATTGCAGGCTGTTCCACCTGAAATTACTACCATGGACGGCATAAGCGAGTCAGAAAAAGAAGTACCATCTTCTGTTATGAATGTTGATGTTGTCATTGTTGTTAAAAAACCAGAATTTTTTCATGGTCGATTATTATATGAGAGATGAGAATAGCAGATCCGCAGATTAATGAGATGAAGTTTATAGGGTGTATTGTATCCGGATGTGGGTATTGTGACGAATTGTGCTATCTACGCATTCATCTCACCTAAATTTGTCTTTTTATTACTGATGATTCGTCGGAAAATATTAACGTTAATTGTAGTTTATTCCGTAATGTTACATATCCAAAAATCTAAAATAAGATAGCTGCCCCAGCAGGACCGTGAAAAATGCACCAATCATATCTCTTCTAATAAGCGACGCCAATAAATCTCCGGATCAAGTGTAACGATTTCTGTTAATAACTCAAAATTTTGGTATAGGACATGTCCTCCTTCGATCATTATCCTAAGGTTTTATTCATATTAGTTTGATTTGATTAGTGTAGATCATCTGATTGGTGCATTTCCCACGGCTCTTCTGGGGGTAGCCCAGATCGAATCCATTACTTATTCTTCAAGAAAGACCGTCCAAAATTAGTAAATTGTTCTAGGATGGTGAATGAAATACGAATTAATTTAGAAGTATAATTTATACGTATACGTATTATGTACATCAGCCTGGAGTGACTCCAACCCATTAACAACCCTAATTATAATAAAAGGCAAATGAAGCATTTTAGAGATGCTATTGATACATCCTGGATTAGAAATACGTATAACATCGCAGCATTAAACAAAATTGTTCCAGATGCGTATTAAAATTTAATAATTTAATCCAGAGTAGCATATTTCGAAGCAAGTTATAGAGTGTAATATGGAGTAATATATAACTCCCGGTGTAGTAAATTTATCTTGCTAAAAATTTCTCAATCAACAACTTTAGTATACGTACGTAATTACACTACAGTTAAAAAACTTTTTTGTATTTTTTAAAAAGCTCGGATAATCTATTCCTTTTATAAATGTAAGCAAACATGCTAGTAAATTTAAGTTTTTATATTTTGGTTTTTAAACATTGTCACATGAAAGTGAATTTTTTTACGGCGATACTGGTGAAGATCCTACCTTACATTCCTGTAAAAAACAAAAATCAATATCTTTAAATTTTTTTTTTTCTTTAAAAGATTTTTGCAGCTCAATCGTAATTCTAATTCTAACTTTAATTTTACACATGAACACGAATTCAGATCATTGAATTGAGAACAATTTGAGACTTAATTCTATTGCAAAATGCTCAAGATTTATTATCTAAATTATTGTACGTCCATTTTTGATCATACTTTTTATGGATTTCTTTAAATTTGTTCTAATTAAATTCAACAAAAAAAACAAATTTAACAAAAAAATCTAGAATTTTATAATTATTTTTAAATATTATTATTTTATTTTTGAGTATACAATCTGACCTCTCTATAATTATCTCCTATATAGTTACAAGTTCATTATAGTCACATTTATAAATTTACCAACCTTTTTTATATTATTTTTACCTTTATATAAGCACAATTGCACTATAGTCACTATTATAATTTTTTACTAATTACCTAAATTTTTTTTTTTTAATATTAAGGTAACCATTTTGTCTTTTGACTTTATTAACATTTTTTGGATAACATAGTTTTTTAAAAACTATTACAGGAAGAGTTGTCATATATAATATCCTTGCTTAGATGTTTCATTTAAATCTTCTAATCCTATAATCTGTATTAACTTTATCAAGTTATGCTTAGATTCTTATTTCAATCTTAAGACTAATTTATTTTTAAGATAAATCTTCCAGAGTTTTTTGTATTTTTATTTATAACTGATTTAGACTTATTATAACTGAACCAATACTTATAGTTAGGGTTAATTATTAAACTATTATATTTTTATAAAGTTTATACAATCTTAGTATTATTTTTTACAATCTTACTAACATTTTATTTACTCTTATAAGTTCTTCTATACTACCAATCTAGTAAATAATATTCTTATAAATTTGGACTGAATTAAACTTTGGTCAAGTTCAGATTCAAATTTAGTTCAATATTAAACCTAAATTTGAATTTTTTTAAAAAAAGTGCAGTTCAGATTCAGTTTTATATTAAATCTAAATTTGAATTTTTTTAAAAAAAAAGTTCAGTTCAGGTTCAATATTAAACTTTTAATTTAAGTTTAGGTTTAGTTCAAGTTTATAAATTTTAAGTTCAGTTCAGTTCAGATTTAATAATCTGCAAAATTTGAAGTAGTTCAGGTTTAGGTTCAATGATTTACAAATTTTGAAGTTTAGTTTAAATTTAATGAATTTAATTCATAATTTAAATTAAACTAAACTAAATTTAAAAACACTAATTTTAGATTTTTTTATTAAAAAAATCTAAAATTAAGTATTTTTTTAAAAAATTTTAAAAATATAAAATAAATATATATCAATATAATATATTTTTATCATGAACTCTTTCCACTGATCATCTAAACACAAAATCGACCAAAAAGGAAAACTGATTTTACACAAAAGTGGTCTTCTAAACTACTTTGACAGAACTAAATAAAAAGAAAGAGCATCCAAGAAAGATATATAAAAAGAGAAGAAATAGACAAACACAAGAAATACAGTATAGAAAAGCAAAGAAAACTAAAATTTCTTGAAGAAAATACTCAAAAATTTGGAAATTGTAACATTTTGGGGAATTGACACTAACCTGGTATTGCAGATTTGTTTTGGTCACAAGAACGTAAACAAACAAGCAATTCAACTACATGTAGGATAAGCAAAACAAACATGTGCTTAATATAGATAGAAATATAGATTTAACTAAAAGACGTAATAGCAGTCTAATAACAACATATATCAATAGAGCATACTGGGCTATTAATAGTGTACAAAATGGTGTGTTCATTAAACAAGCAGGTGAAACATATATATTGCCTAGCAGAGAAGACAAAATTGTTACTATGTTGACAAATCAGAATTCAGAAGAAGTTGCTTTATTAAGATTAATAAGAGAATTAATAGATAAAGCAGAGAAAGAGCAACCAGAAAGAAAATTAA